CTGGCCGTCCCGGTCCAGCTGCGGGACGCTCCGAGCTTCTCAGCTCCTCTCTCTCCGGTGCTGCATGTCTAAAACTGCTCTCCAAAATAGGAGTCCATGTCCCTCTTCTCCAAGAGGGATCTCAAGGGAGTTTTGGGGGAGGGTGGTACAGTCTTACCCCCAAGAACTCTGTAGCTCTCAGTTGCTGGCTCTCCTTTCCTCGGCTCTCCTTCCAGGAGTCCTTTCTCTGGTGCTGCATGTTGCTTCTCTGCTCCTTCAGTTCAGGTCTTATCTCTGGCTCTCTGCCACCGTTTCTCTGGTCAGTGTCGGCTGCTGCTCTGTGCCCATGGAGAAAACATCTCCCGGCATAACTACAGGCACCTAGCCCAGCTTTATGCTGTTCCAGGTCCCTGCAGCCCCCCAGCCAGGGGCTGGGAGGGGGCCAGAGGGCCCAAGGGGCTCAGAGCCCCTTCCTCGTGGCTCTACAACATGGCCACCTCTCCTACAACCACCAAACTACAACCCTTCTTTTCCGGTCTGGTTGTGGTATGTTTACATTTCTGCAGGAGCGTCCATTGGGCAGAATTTCAAAACTTCCAGGGGTTTCCACCCCTTGGGGTCTACCACTTCTCTTAGCTTCTGGGGAGAACAAGGTTCAAACCACTACAGTGTCCCAAAAGGGAAATGACAAGGAACCGTTCTGGGGCACGGCAGGAGGAAGCTTCTTGGTGACAAATTGCTTTGGTTATGGGCTGTGTGCTCCAACAACAGGCAGGAAAACTGTGCTGGACATAATGATGGATAAAAGGAGGAACCACAGCATTGCTCTGACACTGTTTTCCATGCTCACCTTTTCTTTTTTTTTTTTTCCCCTGGAATTACTTACGCTTGATTGTTGCAATTGATTGCAATTGTAAGGGCTAATTTTGGTGCATAATTTTTTTTTTTTTCTGGAAGACTGCCAAGTGTTTGTGTAATGGAGGAAAACAACTGCACAGGGTTTGGTACAGGCTGTGCTTGTCTTCCTTTCTCCAGCCAAACCATTCCATGGGCTGATATATACAAATATATATACACACACATATATGTGTGTGTATATATATATCAATAGGCAATATCTGTATACAGCAAACTTCCTTGAAGGGGAAAACTCAGCCTCCTGAAAAAAAAAGAATTAACAGACCTGTGATGAGTTCTAAAAACAAACAAACTAAATTTAATGCCTGTGATAGAGTGGTCATTGCCTCAGTTTTAAGACAAATACCAAACCCAACTGAGTTCACTTTTAAACTTTGCATGGTGGAATGGAGAGTAAATAGTGTTGTTCCAACCTCAAGAGACAAATCCAATATGTTTAGCTGATGGAGTTGAAGACCAGTACGTGAGTATATAGACCTGGGCTCTTGGAAAATGTCATGACTGTTTTCCTTGCAGCCCAGTCCAATTTCCATGAAGTTTGAAGGAGAGATTTAGTTGACACAGGATAAAAATCACAGATTTATTTCTGAGTGAAATATTAACTCAGGAATAACTTTTCTATCTACATCCACATTTTCACAGGGTTCAAGGTACGGTGAAGCTGGGCTGGTTTTCAGGGTTTTCCTCTTTTCCCACCTCGTATTTGGCCAAAGAGGAGCAAGAAATTTGAAGGGGTAAAGAGGATGTGAAGGATGCAGGTTGTGTTGATGGTGTTTAAAGCTTTTTGGGACAATTTTTATATGGATCGAAAATTGATACTAAAAAGAAAGCCTCATCTGATAGATGACTTATGGTGCTGAAATGATGGGCTCAGTTGTAAGATAAGGTACCAGGACTCCTTGGAACTTGTGTCATCTTTCTCCCCCGGGTTTTGGTGTGTCCTCTTGCTTGGTTTTTATCCTGTCATTCCAACTGTGATTTATCCTACATGCTTGTTTAAAAACAAGTTACCCTGTCAAGCTGCCATTACACAAACATTTGTCCTGGTTATCCTTCCAGAGTTATTCACAGATGTAAGTTCTGGCAGACTCAGGGCCAAGAATGATAATAGGTGGAGGATCCACTTTCTTGAAATATCAGCTCACTCTTTTTGTGTTGTTTTGAGATTGTTTTAGTTCAACTTGATGCCATATGGGTTTTACTTAAGGACATGGTTTGTCCCTGCAAAAGCATCTTTGAAGGCAACAGAACAGTTTAAATATGTTCAAGAGAATTAATTAAAATGCCTTTTAACTGAAGGGGAATGAGAGCTTTTTTTTTTTTTTTTTTCCAAAATAAAGCTCCAGCCTGGTGAAACATTTTGTATCAGTTACAAAAGGAATTTCAGTACATTCCTCTAAAACAAGGGATGAGCCAACTGCATCTGCTGGGTGTGGGAGTGACATTTCAGATCCCACTGACAGCCGAATTGTCAAACTGAACATCATCTCTCTCTCTTGCTGGTGCTGACTGAGAACTCCACACTTTCTAGGAGCAAAACTGCTCCTTTGGAGAGTGCTGGTGGAAGGCATGGACACCTTTGGGCCTGGAACAGGCTGCCAAGCCTACCTCATATACATAGCTTATCTCAATAAATCAACCCTCCTTCCCCTGTCAGAGAGCACTGGAGAAAGGGAAAACACAAAGTGTTTTTTGAGCAGTGAGGACTTTCACTGGTGGTTTATATTTACAATTGTTCCAGGTGGTATGACAGTGTGTCATCCTGTGGTGGTGTTCTTCAGCCTGGAGCAGGTGTAATCATCTCCTTACGTACATAACAGCTTCCATTGGTACATCCCAAGGTGTGTTACAGAAGGAGACCTTTGATGTCAGGTCTGAATAGTGAGTGATGTGAGAAGTGAAATGTCACAGAGAGGGGACACTGTGGCGCTCCAGCAGAGCTGTAAGACCTCTCTGCTGTGCTGCCAAGTGAGCAGCTCTAGTCTGTAGTATTTTGTTTGCAAGGAGATGACAGAATGGTAGAATTGTGTAGGTTAGAAGAGCTCTCTGGTCCCACCTCCCTCTCAAAAAGCACTTACAAGCCTTTTTATGTGTGTGGATGTGTATAAACAGTGATCTGGTGCAGCAATACTATGCATTTTGCCACCTTCTTGGGTGCTGTTGCACATTTTCTGAGAGGATCTGTTTGCCTCGTTGGTCTGGAAGGGATGTACTCAGTCCTGTAACTCAGCTCTCAAAGCCATACCACAAAGAAAGCAACAACCTGGACTGGAAAGAAGAGTTTTCAGAGAAACAGGTGCAGAGAGTGAGTTTGGAGGAAGAGAAAGCCCAGGCAGGCACAGATAAAATAATACTGGCAGTGGAGCCAAGAGTGTAATGGAAGGCTAGAGCTGTGGACAGGACCAGGAGACAAAAGCAGCTGTAATGAAAGAGAAGCAGCACATCAGAGAGGCTGATCTGAAGGCAAAGCTGGAAATGAAAGCAGAGGGGAGGTTTCCCTCTTTGATCTGTTTGATCTGCACCTGCGGCTTTGTCCGGGAATCTCCTTTGTGAGGGGGATCTTCCAGAGGTACCTGTGAAAGCAAGTTCATGTTGCTGTGGGTGCAGAAGAGCCTGTTCAGCCAGGAGATGTTTCTGCAAGGGTTCCTTGCTTTGCAGGACAGAAACCAAAGGTGAGGACCCCGATCCGGTCTGGTTTGCAGTGTGTCCACAATCACTGATGTCTGGATTCAGGTACAAGCTCTGTTTTAAATAAGAACACTCAACACACACTCAGCGGCTATAATTTTAATTTTTCCCTCCTGAAACTCTTATGTGTTGTTAAACTTTGCAATTTAACTTTGCAGTGTAGTGGTGAGGAAGGGTGGGGAGAGGGCGTGGGGGTCAGAGCTGCTCAGGGGGAGAAGACAAAGGCTGTGTTTGTGGGTTGGTGGGAATGTGCCAGATGGGGGAGAGAGGGCGGGAGGGAGGAGGGTGGGAAACGGATGTCGGAAGTGGTGGGTCAGGGGTGAGGGGCTCCACTCCTCGGGGTCCGGCCATGGGGGCAGAGCAGAACATCACAGCTAAAGGAGTTTGTGGTGCTGCAAGGCTGGGGAGAAGATGCATCCCAGAAGAAACAGCTGGGATCATTTCGAGGCACCTTTAATAGCCTTTTTATTTTTTTAAGTTTTTGGTAGGGCAGTGTGGTTGGTGAAACTGGCTTCATTAATGGGAATGGCTCCTGGTGGAGTTGGATGCTTGCGCTCCCAAGATCAGGTGTTTCTCACGGGTGCTGAAGCCAAAGCAGCAATTTTCCTTGGAGGCTGCTTGGGAAGACAGCAGGAAGTCTTGTGAGCAGTGTTAGTGGTGTTGGGGGAGCATGGCTGGGGCTGACTGCAACCTGCTCGCCGCTTCTCTTGGTATACTTTCCAAAAAAGATAAAAAAAAAAAAAGGAACATTCCCAGGCCCTGTGGCTAAAAAATGCCCTGTTTCATCAGTTGTGGTTTTTGGGCAGCTTGATTTGACTGACACGTGGGTGCAGCCATTTGTCTTAATCCTCCCTTTCCTCTCTGAGTACATCCCAGCTGGTGCTGGATGAGTCCAAAATCCTCTGTAAGTGCCACTGCTGCGCTGAGAGTTGTTTCTCGAGAGCGCTGCCTGCTCCCTGGGCTCTCCCAGCCCCAGACCCTCCTGGGCTAGGAAGGCCTATCTTGCTGCAAATCTGGGAATCTAGGAAGGGTGTCTAGGAAGCCAGGCTGATGTTCTCACGGAGATAGGACTGTCTTGCTGACAAATCCTGCTCACCTGTGGTTTAGACCTGCAAACAGTGACTAAACCATGAGTTGTCAAGAAAGTGTTGGGAGGTGTGATGTGAAGAAAAATTGGGATGAGGTAAGAGACAGGTTTTGGGCAAGAGCACAGAGGAGGTACCTCAGGGAAAGAGGTACCTGGCAGGTGGATGGCAAAGCAGCCCTAAAACTGGGTGTCAGTGCGAGATGGAGGAGATGGTGATTCAGGAGACGCACACGTGTCTCATGGGGGTTAGACCTGTGGGAGCAGTGAGCTTGGAATAAATGAGACAGATGTGGTTTAGCTCTAATTTTATTTTTTTTTTTTGATGCAGGAGGTGGGTGTGTTGCTGAGACACGGTGGTGGCTCAGTTTGCTGACAAAAGCAGGGAGCTGGCACGGAGAGTGTGGGGCACAGGAAGGGCCACGGGCAGCTGGCAGTGTCCCTGAGGTAGGGATGTATGTGGAGTTTGAGGGATCAGTGGGATGATTTCCCCAAGGTGTGCTGGGGTGGGTCTGCCCTTCCACCCCAGTCATAGGCTTTAGGGCACTGAAATGTCGATGGTGGGGTTTTCCATCCATGCACATGTCCATGTCTCTTGTCTTCTCATTTTGTCCTTTTGCCATCTCTGCTGTTGGGAGCTCTGCTCTTGATGGGCTCTTTGCCCTTTAGCACTTACAAAGTGACCCTGATCCTTAGGGCTGTGACAAAGGTTCCCTCTGCTCTGTACTCCTCAGGAGGGGTCTGAACAGACCCCTTGATGGTGCAAGTTGTGTTTTTGGCACAAAATGGGTTGAAATGGGATAGCTCTTTCCACTGTACTCCAGTGCTGAGCTAGGATCAGGACACGTAATGCAGCTACGTGACCAGGGCTTTTTTCCCCAGATCTGCAGCAAGATTGGAGAAGCATTTGGATATGACCTGTTTATAGCCTGAGATAATTTCTGCCTTGGCAAACACAGAAAGAGATAAAGCAATGGAGAGCTAAGAGCTAAATCTCCCCTGTACAAATGCTAGGAGCATATGTAATAGGATTGTTGAATTGGAGTTACATGTTTTCCAGGATAAGTACTGTTTGATGATACAGTGCTGCTGCAGCCATCCTTAAAACAGAAAAAAAGGACTGGGGATTTACAGCACTTGTTGGGGATGTTGGGGTTTCCCTGTGAACTTTGAGAACAGCAAAAGGGAAGAAAAGGCCTTTGCAGATAAGACAAAACAGATCCCTAAGAAGGCTGGAGTCCTGTGGGGAGGAAACATCAATGCTCTGACCTCAGGGTAATCAGGTATCACAGATTTTTCTCACACAAAATGCAAACTCTTTTGTAGATCTTCTAGCTGAACATGGGAAAACTGAATATTTTTTGTTTTTAGCAACATCTTCCCTTGTTTTTCTGTGCCCCTTTCAAGAGGTGCATTAAAAACAGTGCATGTCCCGACCTTGAAGGTACAGTTTTAAGCAAGCTAAACTTAGAAGATGTCAGAGCTGAGCTTGTCTGCCTCATCTGGACTTGGCCTCTTTCCACCTGGGGGTTCTGATGCACTGTTTAATTACAGGACACCTCCTGCCTTGCCTGCAGCACATTTACTTCCCAGTAGTGCTGGAAGTGATGGGCCGACCCTGACCCTGGTTGCAAGAGGGACTTTTATTCCAAGAGGGACTTGAGGATGGGGAAGGAAGAGTGGGGTTTTTGTTGCTATTGCTGTCTTGTTTGGGAAACCTGGAGTCTGCTTCTCCTGGGGACTTGCTGGTCTGGATGGATACAAGTGTGGCTCATGGTCCCTGTGTCCATCACTTGTGCCCTTCGTTCCCTAACCAGGCAAGGGAGGGAATGCCCCGTGTCCAGGGGAGCTGCTTTGGGGGCAGACATCTGTGCTGGGGCAGGGGCTGGATTTTTGGGGTGGGAGCAGGATTTGGGTACACGTGCTCTGTGTTTGCTGTGAGGGTGCCCATGGAGCTGGTCTGTGCTGAGCACAGGGTGACTGAACCAGCACAAGGCCAGCACAGCCTCTCCCTGGGGCATTCCACACCCCTCCGGGGGCGGTGGGAAAAGGGGGAAGCTCCCGCCCGGCCCTCGGAATCAATGCATCAAGGCAGATTTAATCGCAGTGGAGCCACAGTTCTGCCCATCATTAGGACTCAGGCCAGCATGAATTAAGACTTCCAGGGCTGATATCCTTCGTGCACACGTAGGAATGCAGATAAAACTTCCCAGAAATTTGGCTGATCTGCTGCTGCTCCAGCCCAAGCTACCTATAGGCACAGTCCCTCTCCTGCCAAGCCCTCCTTGCTCCACGAGGTGTGTGGGACACCCTGTTTTGGGCTGAGTTTCTCTCTGTTCCCAGGGAAAGCGTTTCTTTCCTGAAAACCTGGCTGTGCTGAGACAAAGCAACAACCAGCACAAGGTGGATCAGACCTTTTGGTAAACAGCCAAATGGATTTGTCCCAGCCCAGTGACAGGTGGGAGCTTCTCTTGGCTGACATGGAGGTGTATCAGGACCTGGGCTGAACGTTGGAATATTTGAAGCTGCTGCCTAATGCCTGATGAGGGTCCTGCTCCTGCCTCTGCTCCACCTTTCTCCTGGGGCGCTGTGGGGGCCAGCAGGCTGCCAGCTCACTTCCTTCCTGGGTCATATAACGGGACCGTTTCTGGCTTAATGTTGTTGCAGTTGCTAATCCTGCAGGAAGCTGGTTGTGCTCCTGGCTTTTGTTTTTCATAGAATCACAGAATGGCTTGGGGTGGAAGGGACCTTAAGGCTCATCTAGTTCCACCCCCCCTGCTGTGGGCAAGGACACCTTCCAATATCCCAGGTTGCTCCAAGCCCCGTTCAGCCTGGCTGCTTGGACCATCTCTCTGTGCTCCTCCCACCCTACCTATCCCTGCTTCCACCTTCTGTAGGTGTCCTTTTTGTGTTCTTCCAAGAGCTCCTTGTTCATCCACACAGGCCTTCTGGAGTTTTGACCTGCCTCCCTGCTTGTTGGGATGCATCAGTCCTGAGCTTGGAGGAGGTCATCCTTGAATATTAACCGGGTTTCCTGGGCCCCTTTCCCCTCCAGGGCTTTATCCCATGGGACTCTACCAGGCAGGTCTCTGAGAAAATGACTGCATCCAGTTTTTGTTTACTTTTTGATGAAAATGCCCTTTTTGTGTTGGTTTTTTGTTTTGTTCTGCTTTTTTTGTTTCTTTTTTTTTGTTGTTGTTTTGGTTTGTTTTGGATTTTATTTTTGTTGGTTTTGTTTTTGTTTTTTGTTTGTTTTCCACTCCACATCCCTGCCAGTGCTGAAGCAAATAAATGGGCAGATGCCTTCCTTTCCCTGCAGCATGCTGGAGCTGTACTTCACCTGCTGGATCGTGAAGGGAGATGCTGTTATTTCCATGAGTGATTTGCTGGGAGAAGGAAGGTGTAACTGTGCACTTGAGACATGGATCCAGACCCCAGATGCCCTGCTGGGATGAAGTGATGTCCCGTCAGGGTGGTTGGTGGAGCTTGCGTTGGGCTTGGTGGATCCTTGCGGAGCAACCCCAGCTCAGAAATTTCTGGCTGAGAGCTGCTGATGGGGCAGTGCTGCGGGACTGGGGCTGTTTGCTCTTGGCAGCTCCCTCCTCTCTTTTCCAGCACTTTGGCTGAGCCTTCTGTGTTGTCAACCAGCAAAAGCCCATTCCCATTGAATTATGGATGCATAAAACGGGAGGGGGGGGGGCGTTGGGTTGGGCGGCTGTTCAGAGAGCAGGTGTTTCCTCTTTGGGGTTTAAGTTACCAAATTCATCAGGACATTTCAGCTTCTCGCTCTTTAAATTCCCTGATCCTGGAGAACAAAGTCATTTTCTCAGCTTTGGAGCCTGACATCTGCTTGCAGGGATTACGCGTGTTCCTGCGGCAGCGGGCGCAGATTTTCTTTGTGGAAGGGGATCTCTTGGAGGGAGTATTAAAGCCCAGTACAAGTTCCTGTTCTGGAATGGAAATTGCTCTGCAGGTTTGGAGTGAGGCATGTTGGAGCTTGCTTATTTACTTGGCAGATGTCTGATGGTGTTACATCATCCCCAGCACTCGGACCTGCAAGGCTTCAGAAAGGGCTCAGTGTGTTGTGGTGGGTTGAATGGCCATGGGGAGCTCTGCTCTTCCTGCTTTCCTGTGGTGGGAAAACAACCATTTCCAGTAAGGAGCCGCCAGCCAGCTCTGCCTCCCATAGACCCACGTCCTGGGGTGATGGGGAGCACTGGTCGGGGAGAAGGGCCATCAGAAATCTCCGCTGGATGGTGCTCAGGGGGTTGTCAATCCACTCATGTTTCCCATCTCTGAGCAGTGTGCAGGGATGATATCTGCTGGGAATGAGTCACCTTCTACTACTTCCAGGGATTGGTTTTTAAAACACATTCTGTTTTGCCACCTTAAACCTCTCTCAGTGCTTCCAGGTTGTTGTTTCGTGAGATCCAGACTAACCCCCAAGCATGATTTTGCTGAGAGCATGCAACTGGGAGCCAAGCTTTTTATAGAGCTCCAAATCAATAATACAATTAGCTAAACCCAAGTCCAGTGGAAAAAGTTGCTTTGGAACAATTAAGCGTTGCCTGCAGCCCTGAGAGCCTGGAGCTCTCGGGGAAACACTCTTAATTGGGCTTTGTGGCTCTGGCAAGATAGGAACTGCAACAAATAGTGAGAAGCAATTTGGATTTGAATTATTTCCCCCTCTGCACTAGTAGGTCGAGGTGGTGTCAGTGATGAAGGTCTGGCTGAGTGTGTTGCAGGGGCTCAGGCAGGTGAATAGCAGCTGTGTGCATCTGGCTCGATGTTTGGAGCTGACCTGTTCATCTTTCTTTTCCATTCCAGGAGCTGTGTGGGACAACCAATGTTTCCCTACCGTCCTGCTTTCTGCTGTGACCCCCTCCTGTGAGTAGTGACCCCTGGGCTGTGTGTTTGCAGCTCCTGCCCACCCTCCTCCTGCTCTGCTCACCATCCCTTCCCTCTCTGTCCTGGGGCAGAGCTCCACAGCCTGCAGAGCAGAACGGGGGGTCTTTTAGGAATTAAAACTTTAAGACTTCTTTGAGATACACAGTGAAGTGTTTACATGAAAAACCGTGTCAGCAGCTGCATGTTTTATCCAAGCAAGTATGTTCAGACATGTTTATAGAAACATGGCAGCACTAAATCTGGACAGTTGGTCACTAATCTTTGCAAAGATACAGAAGTGATTAAATAAAAAGATTTCCCTGTGGCAAACCCTGTAAGTTGCAATGTAAGTGTGACCTAGGCTTTTAAAGGCTCCTCTCCTGCCCTTGTCCCTCCCCACACTTCCTCTGTGTGGTCACTCCAAATTGCTGCCAGCTGGCCCTTTTATCATGTGTGTGTGTGGTTGTGCTGCTTCTCATTTTTGTCCAAAGAGACAGACAAAATCTGTGGCTTATTCAAATCTTTGAATTTGTAGCCAGTCTAACAGTAGGAAGGAGAAATACAATTAAAAACTCTGAGGGAAGAGGTTCTGTCCTTTAGTGCCTCACTATTGACCACAGACCCCACTGTGCCCATAAATCTAAGTCGTCTTGCCTGTTGTGTTTGAGGTTTTCTTCCCTCTGTGTTGCCTTCTACCCTTGTTTCAGACATCAGGTTAAGTTCTTTCTGGTGTGTTTTCAGCTTGACAAATATGATCTGTTTTGTTTGTTCCAGGGTAAGGGTTTTTTTTGGTTGGTTGGTTTTGTTTTTTTCAACTGAGTGGTTTTGTGGAAACAAAAACAGAACAAAAAATTTCTTTTAAAAAACATCAGCATTGTAAAGAAAGAAGAATGAAACCAGAAACTGATACATCATCAAATTGAACATGCTAGTGTGCAAACACGTGGCAGAGCAGTCAGCTAACAGCAAATGATAGTGAAATTGGGTGATATTTCCAGTTTCCCTGGAGTTGAAAGTGCACATGGTTTACAATGGATAATGAAATGTTATGGTTTTTATGTCTAATACGTTAATTCTGCCAGGGCAGTAATCCCAAGGTTCCAATCCACCGCAAGGCTGACATTTTGTTGGAAAGAGATGCACAGGCATTTATTGAGGACACAGACTACAGTGCATTTAACAAAAAAAATAACAGAAAATGGAATAGGTCTCCTCTCTCTTCTCTCTTCCCTTCTCTCCCACTCTGTGGTATCAAATATTGACTCAGGCCAGAGGAGCTGCTGCTTGGAGCCTGTTGCTCCTTCCGTGGCAAATGCAAAAGTTAATTCCCTTTTTCGTGTTTTGAAAGAGGAATATCACCTGTGATGGTTTTGTGCTTTTGTGTGGCTTGGGCTTTTTAAGGGCAAGTCTTGAGCACTTCCAGCTTGGAACATCCTGCCCTGTCACACACCTGCATGGACAGGTGTTTGTGGATCAGACCAAGGTCCTGATCCAGAGTCTAAACCACGTGTCGTGCACCTGGTTTACCCTAAACTGGCCCTGTTTCCCTCCTGTGCTTCCCTGCCCAGCGGTGGAGACGTGGCTGTGAGCCTGAGCTATCCTTCTAATCAGGGCCTTGTGTTCCTGCTCCCTCCTTGCAGCAGCACCAGGGATTTCCTCACTGCACAGTGAGCAAGTTCAGGGAGCCAAAATGGCCAGAAAATAAAATGTGGTGTTTTGGCCAGCTGTGTTTTGTGAGCCAGGTTGCTAGAAGAAGGCTGTAGGTGGGAATACATGGGCAGGATGTGGTAGCCCTGATGTGGTCACTTTTGAGGAGAAAAGAGGGGTCTTAGAACCTGTTTAACTGTCTTGTGGTCCCAATAAACCGTGTCACTGGGATCCTTCCCTCCAAAGCCCAGGGATAGATGGACACTCTTGGTAAACCCTTCCTTGCCAGCTATGGGGTTGTGCTGCTTTGCTGTGGATTTTAGAGCTTCTTCACTTGTGTCCTGCAAGATGATGTTCCAGGAAAGGAGCTGCTTTAGGGACCAGCCAGAGGTCCATGTGGAGAGTGAGGAGGAGGAGGAGGCATCTCCCTGGAGAGGCTCTGGATAGCTCATGCTGCAGGATCACCTACTGGAAGGAGTGCAGAAGTCTTTCTGTGCTTTTTGTTCTGCTTTTGCAGAAGTCTGTCCAGGACTTTCATCTGTGGCTGATGTGGGAGGCTCTGTTTTTGGTGTATTATTGGGATGGGAGAGGATTGATGCTCACACCCTCTGTGCTGGCCCTGAGCTCAGCTGGGTTCTGCAGAACCCCGAAATGCGGAACGGGTTTGAGGAGTTCCCTTATCTCCCCAGTGTGGCTGCAGTGGGGGAAGTGGGCCAAGTTTTAGAAGTCATTTCTCCAAGTGACTGCGTGCAGCCTTCTAGACTTGCTTAAGCACACCCATTTCTGCTTTTGGGCAATTAATGCAGCTGATGAAACCGAGCTGTTTTGTTGCTCAGTGGCCTATTTCTGTGTTTTCCCTGCCACCGCTCTATTTGCTGCCACTTTAATACATATCCACCACTGTTCTCCCCATGCAGCTGTCCCACTGTGTATCAGTCACATCTGTGTGTGTGTGTGGAATAGAATAAGGGAAAGATAACTTTGGTCACACAGACTTATGCAGAGGAGGATCTGCCCTGATGCGCTGATATCTCGCCGAGCTTCTTAGAGCTGGAACGGTGACAGCAGGCAGCATTGGAGTCCACCTCCCAAATGTTGTGTTTAATCCCAAATCAGGCTTTAGCATTCAAGTAACAGCCAAATACTGAAAAGCCTCATAAGAAGTAGAAGGAACAGGCAGGACTTTAAAAAAAAAAAAAACACCAAAAAACCCCCACACAACTAGAAATGAGGAAAAGTAATCAGCAGTTCTGGAACTATTATGGTTTTTAGAATGCGAGGCTTTTGCCAGTAAAAGAAGACCAGGTCTCTGCCCTTGAGCTTGCTTAAGCAGTTAATCTGTGTATGAACTCTTAGTCTTAGGGATCACTCAGAAATTATGAATCTCTGAGCCTTCAGAGACACATGTGGGCAGTATAAAGGCAGGGTCATGTGGCAGTGGCATTAGAAACTGGAGGCTCAGGTCAGACCTTAATGTAGGTCTTCCAAAGGTGAGGGTGTAGCCTCATGGATATAATCCAATGTACAAGTTAACAGAAAAGGACAAAAAGGGAAGGCACTCAGACATGTGTGGTAAGTCCAGTTGTGCCAGCCCTGTCTGCCAGCTGTGGTGTTTATAACCTTGAGTGACCTTGTGAAAGTCAGTGCTGGTGGCTCTCTGGGCAGAACCTGCAATCCAGATGTCTGCTTAGTTTGGAGGACTTTGGGTCAGGGTCTCCCAGAGAGGTGTTAACTGAGCAGTGTGATTCCTGTGCCGGGCTCTGGTCTGGGGAGGTTGAAAACCAGGTCAGGGCTTCTTTTCATTGAGGTGACATTGAAGGGAAGTTTTGGATTTGTGTTTTTTGTTGGTTTTTTTTTTTACCATATGGCTGTAATAGAAGAAATAAATTGGAGCTTGTTTTCTAAAAATGAGAACATGTGCAGTCAACCAGCATCTTTTATTTTTATGCAGCACGTCCAAAATAGATGCCAGTCTGCCTCTTTGGGAACGTGCATCCGGCAGAAAGTCACAGCAGCACTTTGTGCTCCCCTCCCTGACTTTCCCGCTCTCCCACCACTTGACAGTGAGCTGTTCAGGAAGTGACTCTGGTTTGGATGTGCCAGTCACCCCCACACACGGGGGTGAAGGTGGCAGTGACACGAGGAGGGGGTGTGTGGGTGACACTGATGCTGCTCTGGTCCCCCTTCTCAGTGTGGGAGGGAGGGAGCAAGGACACTTGTGCAGCCCTCTTGCTCTGCTGAAAGGGGGAAGCTGGAAGCACTGCCAAGACAGAGGAATTACTGGCAGGATGCTTTCTGCTGTGTCCCTGGAGTTAGACATTGATAGTCTGTGCTTGCAGCCACGTGCTGTTTGCTCAGCCTGGAAAGGAGCAGTTGCTCAGTTGTGTCCTTTGGATCTGCTGGGGGTGGAGAGCATTTCCCCCGCCAGTTCCTGCTGCCAACACATGAGGAATCACAGAATCATTTAGGTTGGAAAAAACCTCCAAGGCCATCGACCATGGGCTGGGGTCTGCACAGGCAGAGTGGGAGGGATGGATGGGGATGGTCCAGTCTCTGCCCGCTGGCCTCCCAAGGCTCTGGAGCTGAGAAGAGGTTTCTCTATGAGCTAAGAGAAGATGCCTCCCTCCTGTGGGAAGAGCTGGGGGGAGACTGAGCCACTGAGCAAACTTTGGGCTTTGCACATGGACTGTCATGCTCCTCCTGAGGGCGAGGGAAGAGACAGAGACTTGGTCTTGTGCTGGTGTGAACTGGAATTTATCCCTGGAGTGAAAGGGGTTGTGCCTGTGCCAGATAATGTAGGATCAGGTGCTCAGTCAGCCCTGACTTCAGCCCCCGAATTCATGGCTGTGAGGGTATTTCATCCTGGGGACAAGGATTTGGGTGGCCTGAGCTGGGGTTTAGGAGGGAGGAGCAGTGTGACTTGTGGTCTGATGACATGGGAGATGTAACCAGTGTGCTCCCAGTTCCCTCTTCCTCTTTGATGTCCCCTCCCTGTGCTCAGGCAGCTCTACACTTGGCCAGGGCAGGGGATCAATCTGCCCAAATTCTGCCTTTTGTTTTCCATCAGGGCTGTGCAGGAGATGGGGATAATACTTGCCTCTCAGGGGCATTGTGAAAGTTAATTTGCTAATTATTTGCAAAGCACATCAGAGTGCTGCTTCAATTCTACACAAGGTTATGGTAACATCTAATTAATAATTCCTTATGATGCTTCATTTTCTTTCTGCTATAAATAATGGCCTAATGTAGGGACAACCCTGCCTGTGCTTGTCATCCCAGTGCCTCAGAGGGAATAACAAGCTGGATTTGGTTTGTAAATGGTCCTTCTTTCCCCCTGTCCTCCTCTGCCACCT